CAAAATGATATTTACGCGTAATTGAAGAAAGCATGAAATTAATTTCTACTGATGAACATTGACTCTATTAGTATATTCAATTAAGGTTTATTGAACTAATTTGTCGTTACTGTAGAATAATTAGCATTTCGAATAAATGAAATTTGAATGTAGCGAAGAGAGACTTTGGAAAATACGAAGACGGAACATATAAAGAAATTCTCCATAGAATATTTTTTGTGTATGATATTTAAAAAAATGTTGCGTCTTCTCAAAACTGCAATTTTTGTGTAATATTTAAATGCTTATAAAGAATCAGGAGAGAAACAAGTGAACGGTCTTTCTATGTAAATTTATGCATCACTCGTGATACAGTGTAATGAAATGGTATAGCAGAAAAGAATATTTAAGGAAGTCTTTATTATTTAAAACAAAATACCTTTTATATTTGTATACTTGAGTGCATTACTCAACAAAGACAATAATGGCGTTTTTAAAGTATAATGTTAATGCCTTTAACCAGTAACTCATCTTCAATTAGATATCAATAGAAGTGCGCTGTTAGATGGATCTGCTATTATAAAAAACGAGTTTTTCCACCAACTTGTTTTTCATTTAAATGTGTGACTCTAACGTAAGTGGTTTTTATAATAAAAACAAGTCTTTTTTCTTGTATCTATTCAAATTTTGTCTTTTATGAGAAAGATTAAATATTATGATTGATCGAAAAAGCTGTCTAGGGGGTTATAATTCACATTACAAACAGAGTTGCTAAGTTTATCGAATTTTACAGGCAAAATGAGGGTGTGGGGTGTGAATCAGAGCTGTAACCGGTACCGGCAACCAGCCGGTCTGGCCCGATCCGGTCTGGGATTCTTGGCCGACCGTTATACCGGCCAATCAACACAATCTTTTCCAGACCGACTCGTTCTATATTATTTCGAATTTTTTAGATCTGACGCAAATGTGAGAGTCAGATACTAGACTCTAGTCTCTTAGCGCTTACGTACAGTTTCCCAGGCGAAAAATTATAATGCTGAACGTGTTATACGACAGAAACCTGCGGCCAGATACGGTAGAAAAAAGATTCGTAAGTTCGCAGCGGCGTAACCAGGGGGGAGGCAAATGGGCAATTGCCCATTTCATTTTGAGCCTTGCCCATTGTAATTTTCATTAGTTAATTTTTGACTATTCAAATTTTACTTTTTTACAATTATTTACTTTTGAATCAACTAGCTACTGTCTTTTTTTCTTTCGTTTGAATCGCATATGTACCCTTTACTGTTTTTTATGAAGAATTAATATAAGAAAGCAGAATAAAAAAAATGAATAATGCACAATTGTACACATAGATGTGATAATACCTAAACATGGGGTAACGAGAATCAACCGTCATAATACCCAACGAGTGTTCAACTCAGATGAACTAGATATATTTTCACTAGCTAAAGTATACTTGCTATGAGGTAACAACTATCAGTCCACTTAGTGTAATGACTATCGATATGACTATATGATAGAAGTTGAGGAGTGTGAGTGAATTTGGTGTAATGACAATCATGAAGCGATGTTGCAACGTTATTTATCTTAGCGGAGGCTGTGGGGTGGGGGTGAGGGTGTGGGAGTGAGAGTAGGTGATGGTGTCGTATCTTCTCAAGCACACCCACACCCACACCGTCATATCGATAGCCATTGCACCAAATTCACTCACATTCCTCAACTTCTATCATATAGTCATAGGGAATGCGGTGAAGTGGCACTGCGTTTTCTGGGCGAGGGCATTATTTTAGGGAATCACAGTGAGGACTCGCGTTGTACTAGTGTTAACGTTGGTTGATACCACTGGCCCCTCGATTACACTTCTCTAGTATCTAATGTGTCTCTCCTTTTTCTCTCCCCGTCTTTATCATTGTTATTCTTTCCCCTCTCTTCTTTCTCTTCTCTCTCTATATATATACATATGCGTGTGTGAAAAGGTTAGATATAAATAAAAGTAAAGCTCGACGAAGCGAGCTAACAACTAGAAAAGTCGTTACCCGGTGTAATGAGATTATGCCATCACTCATTGTACATATGCTTATATAAAATTGCGCACTTACACTTATAATTTTTTTGTTCTCTTTTGTCCTGTTTTAAAAGACTAATACTAACCTATGCCAACTGGAAAACGATCCAATTCACAGTGGCGGATCCAGAAAATCAGTAACGGGGCTGGTACTCCCGGTCAAAAAGTGTTTTCGGAAGCCTATTTGAGGCAATACGGCTCTTTTCTGTTTCATTCCTGCTGGAAGAAGTCGAAAACATTTCATGAAGGGTGTGACCCTCGCCGGTTAGCTGCAATGGTAGATCCGCCAGTGGCAATTCGTTATTAAGCTATCACTTTTCTTCCAAGTATTGAAATTTTATGTAAAAATATACAGTGGTCGTTTTGATTTTGGTGTTTAAATTTCAAAACCAAATATTATAAATAGAGACTGAAGATAGAATAAAATATGTCTAACGCAGCAAGTCTGAGGCGGGCTTAAATTCTGAGGTTCTTTTCCTTTACATTAGGTTAAAAGAAACTCATGCTTTTTTGGTTTAGTTAAATGAATATCAATGTTTTTGATGTTTTTTCTACGTTATCAATACTTTGCTGACCAGGTCGACTGATCCGACATAGGATCCGATAGAAACCTGGAAATATCCTACAATCCGATACAATTCTATTGGATTCCGGGTCGAGGAATCGATGTCGGATCCTCAGTGTCGGAATCCTATGAACTTCCGATGACATACAACGGTTTTTCCTTGGAATTCATAGGAATCCGACACTGAGGATCCAACATCGATTCCTCGACCCGGAATCCAACAATAATTCTGTAAGATCTGGCAGGATCCGATAAAATTCTATTGGATTCCAGTCGGATCGGATGTGTTCCGATAGGTGTCTACTGTCGGATTGCTCGACCTGGGCGTTAAAAAATTTTGGCCTATCAATAAAATGCCAATTTTGCCCATGTTTTTTTTTGACTTAATAGAAGTTTGCCCAATGGTCTAAAAGTCCTGGTTACGTCGCTGTAAGTTCGAGATATTTTCTTCTACTATACTACGTAACGGGAGTGATATTTCGAATGCAGCGTGTGAATGAGATAGAGTAAGACTTTCGTATGATACCACATTCGGTGGTCATTTTTTATTATAAAAGAAAATGATACATTTACAAGCATCTCGTTTATTGATGAGAGAAGAAAGCAAGTTGACAAGAAGAGGAACGCAAGCATCTGATTTCGCTATGCCACTTGCTTGATAAGATTTTCAATAGCTTCTGCCGTATTGTTGAATTCGGTCTTAGCTTTCAGATCCTGGGCTATCTTTGCTTCCTGTCTTAACTTTTGTATGGTGGTTGCCATTTCTTCGACAAAATTGTAATGAGAGCAAATCTGTTTCAGCTCTTTGATAGAACTGAGAATGCCATCTTTACATCCGTTGGCGTCATTTTGCAGCGCAGTGTAAGTAGCATTTAGTTGAAGCAATTGCAGTTGACTTGTACTTACTTGCCGCGAAGCTAGATCATAGGCCGCCTTCTTGGACTGGACGATCTGCTCAATTGTGACCATGCGCGAAACTGGAATCTCGTAGGTATGTAAATGCTGATTCATACCACAGTGACATGTACGACAGTTGTTTCCAGTGCTATCGGCAGCTGCACAATTTTTAAAATGTGCAAAGTTGAGCTCAGGCTTATAACCAAGACCACAATGTTCGTGGCACACTTGCACCTTGCCATGTTCCGTACAGATCGTGCTGTAGTAGTTCTTTTTTTCAATTTCAATCTTTTCGATCGTTTGATTTTCCGTGTATTTTGAATTATCAGATTGATCTGACTTTGCATTTCTTAGACGCTCTTGCTCGAGAGTGAGCTTGTGCATGGCTGAAAGTAAAGATTTTTGTTTATCCAATAGATTCGCTTTATTGGCGGACAATTGCTCGCGTTTGATACGCATATCAGCAAAGACCTTGGTGGATGTTGTTACTGTTCGCTCGACTTCGGCCATCAGATCGGTCATCGCTTCGATCGAATCTTGCCAGTTGCTTTCGGCTCGACGTTTCTTTTTCGGGTCACTATCGATATCAGCAATACTAGCAGCGCTGAAAAGCGAGTTTTGCATGTGAAATGTTCGCTGAGGCTCCGGTTTGTACTCAGATATCAGTTGTAGTTTAAAGTTACGCGTCGTTTCTTCGCAGTTAGTGAAGATGAAGAAGAGATTTGCAAAAATGCTGTCAGGAAGTGAGCCTCGAAGCTGACTCAATGTGGCTTTGATGGATGTTGACAAGCGAGCAACCGTTCCATTGATCGTAATGATAACCGCACTGATGAAAGGCAGCTTTGCAAATGTTTTGATGATCATTTGAATGTTTGTTTCGTCTCGTGTGTCGTCCGTGTCGTTGAAACCGGGGGTATCCACAACTTTGATGTTCAGACTTTCTTTCGCCAGCCATACAAAATCGTACTCGCTACACTTTGTGGTTTGACTTTTCGTATTATCAAGAATGTTTCGCTCGCTACTTGCGTACCCTGCGATGGCTCGAGGAAAGAGATTGTTCGGAATGACGACATGAACATTTGAAAACCCAGACTGCTGATTGTATCCTGTGCCAGCAAAAAAATTTGCGAAGTAGTTGATGCACGTAGATTTGCCTGAACCACTTTCGCCGATGAACACTAAGACCACATCAGGGTGGGTCGTGTTTTGATTTCGAAAAGGGGAAGACATCGATATGTACTTTACGTTGCAGAAAGTATATAACACGAGATGAAGAAAGATAATGTTATAAAAGTCTTTTATAGTATTTCTTCATAAATTTTCCCTCATTTGTGATAGCGCCAATCCAAGATAGCAGGTTTCAAGTAGCGTCGTAGCACGTTACAGACGAAAGAAAGTTTCGTCATAGACCATATTCGCTGAAAAACATCGTCTTTGCGTGTATCATATTCATTCTATGTCAACAGAAGATAGCAATATCATCCTAATTTTCAAAGAAGGAAAAAACCTGTCAACTTAATTTCAACGAAGTTCCCATGCTACTGATCACTTTGTCAACAGACATAGTCACCTGTAGTCATTACATAACGTGATGAAAATTTCCAACAAGTTTTTTATCTATAAAAAGCGAAACACAAGAATTGCTGCCAATATATTCTCTGCTACATCTCTTCCCCTCGCGAACAGAAATATGACATCAGTTGTGAAACGCTTCATCGTTCTCGGTGATACGGGTGCAGGCAAGTCTTCATTCATCAATGCTTTTTACAACTATTGCTACGGAACACATGATCCAGACTCCGCGTTCAATGGATCGCAAAACAGTGTTCAAATTGCTATTCCTTGCAAGTATTGGGAGGATCGACGAACGAAAATTTTGGGTGAAGAAAAATCAACAGAACGAGACATTGAAGATCAAACAAAAAGTCAAACCTTGTGTTGCACTACTCACACTCTCGAGTTTAGTGAACGAGAAGCACAACCGCATACATTCGTCATTCAACTCATTGATACGCCTGGCTTCAACGATACAGAAGGTGTCTCCAAAGATGATTCCAACGTTTATCACATCGCAAAGGCAGTACAAGACGTCGCCTACTTAAATGGTATTATTATCGTCGTCAACGGTTCTACTTCTCGTCTGGGCACATCTTTTCAACACTTCATGCAGCTGCTTCATGAGGTCTGGCCCAATGACTTGATGAAGAACATGTGCGCTGTGTTGACTAACTGTGATGATACTACTTCCAATCTCAAATCCGAAGTACTCTACGACTTGCTCAAGGTGAATCGCAAGACTGTATTTTACATGCAAAATAGTCTTTTTCGCTGGGATCGGAAAACTGGCACAAGCAAGACCATACGAAACTTGCGTCGAGATTTCGTTGAAAGTGTGGAAACTCTGAAAAACCTTGAACGGGTACTCCTTCATTTTGAGAATGTGTCGACCAACGCTTTCGTAGTTGGTGCGATAAAACAGAGCTACATTCAACAATGCATTCACGATACGATTACAAGCATTATACAGATGCTCCAAATCGATCGTCAACAATATGTTGTAGAAGAAAGTTTGGGCAGAGCAAGAGCGACAATGTCAGCCAACAAAACGTGGGAGAAAGAAGCAAGCATCACAGTCACAAAATGGATGCAAGTGGAGCCACCTCCATCGCTTTTCTCGTTCTATAACCCGCATTATGGATCTTCGCTTCAACAACCAAACAGCGAAAAACAGCAACGCAAGCACGGAGCAAATCAACAAAATTACAGAACAAACCAGCACGGCAACAGAGCAAATCATTACGGTCACAGAGCAAATCATTACGATCACAGAGCAAATTATTACGATCACAGAGCAAATTATTACGATCACAGAGCAAATTATTACGATCACAGAGCAAATTATTACGATCACAGAGCAAATCAGCACGACAACGGAGGAAATCAGTACGGCCACGCAATAAATCATAACACTAGCTTTTCTTACAATGACAATGTGCCCAGACCGGCTTCTACCTATCGAGCGGAAGAACGCGAAATTAAAGTCATTCTCGAAGATAATGAAGCAAAATCGAATCATGAGTCAGCTCGTCGAGAAGTTACGGATCTCCGCGCCAAAAAGACTGAATTCGCAGGAGAACATGTTATCATGGAAGGTACGCTTCAGGTACTCTTAACGGACCTGGGTAACAACGTGAAAGAAATGCGACAGATTAACATGGGCGTTGATCTACTCGAGAAAAACAAAGAATCACTCCTTAAATTCCGGAATGAAATCGATTTGAGGGGCGATGATAAAGGCATGCTTGAAATCTATGCTGAAGTGGTGGCCATTCTCACGAAACCCATCGAGATTCGCAGCGCTTCTTCTCAACCAGCAACCTATTAACCTTCTTCTTTCTCCAAATTTAACATGACATAACTTTAGTTTGTACATTCTAAGCTCATTTTTTCAATTCATAAATAAGCAGGATAATTTTCAAAATATTTCGAAATATTCCTCACTCTAATTGTTTAATTCGAACAAACCTTTTTAATCGAAGAAATAGGCATCACACAGACAAATGACATCCATACAATACATTGCAGAAAACAATTTTAGAATAGGGGGTGGGGGACGATGACAGTGGGTGTGGATCACGATCCGTGTTCGTGTGCGTGCGTAGCTTTGTGGGTGGGTGTGGGTCAGAGCTGTAACCGGTACCGGCAATCAGCCGGTCTAGGATTCTTGGCCGACCGTTATACCGGCGGATCAACACAATCTTTTTGCAGACCGACGCAGTCTATACTATTTCGAATTTTTTTGTCTAGTATTTTCGAGATTTTGCATACTTTTTCAAAATATTGGCTATGAAAATACTTATTGCTAGATCCAAACCTGATGTTAAGATATCAAGGACTATTTTTATGAACCGAGGTGAGTTGGAGTATTGGTATTGTGTCAATATTTATTTAAAATATCTTATATATTTCGTGAAATCTCTTCAGTATCAACCCCCTCATTGAAAATAATGGAGTCACTACTTGTGACTAGGGGTGGCACTTTATCTTTACTTTACCGGTTAAAGTAAAATTCGCTACTTTACTTTACCCGGTAAAGTAAAGTAAGTCAACTTTACCCGAAAAGTAAAGTAAAGTAAAGTAAAGTAAAGTAAAGTAAAGTAAAGTGAATTAAATAAAGTTGAGTTTGTTGCCCATTTTTTAGCCCAGTATCATGCACTAATAACGCTGCAGCATATGAAAGTATTTTTGGAACGATTTATTCATAAAAAAAGTGGAAAATAAAGTACAGTAATGATGAAAAGGTCACATTTTTCATAGATGAACACTTTTGTATGCTGCAGCGTTATCAGAGCTTGATGCTGGCCTAGAAAATGAACAATAAGCCTAACTTAATACAAGTCACTTTACTTTACTTTACTTTACTTTTCGGNGCCGAACATCTTAATCATTCAGCCATAGCGGCTGAGTTGCTAACCATCTGAGTTGGTAACCGTCTGAGTTGGTAACCAACTGACTTGGTAACCAACTGACTTGGTAACCAACTGACTTGGTAACCATCTGTGTTGATACCCCACACCCCTTAGCAACTCAGATGGTTACCAAGTCAGATGGGGTTAATTAATCAAGTTACTATTAAAGTAGTTAGTTAGGATAAAATTCTATATCTAGAATGGATCAAATTTGATTCGATATTTTTCGGTCAAGATTTTTATTCGGCGAAGTTGGAGTCGGCGAAAATAAAATTCGGCGAAGTTGTACTAATTCATTTTCGTCACCCTCTATGAGGAAAAAAAGCTGTTTTTAGAAAAAATCAAAAAGATTTTCGGCTTTTTCTCAGTTTCCATTTTCTCAAAAGTGCATCCCAAATTTCCCCTTCACGGTTCGTGCAATATATCAATATTTTTTTTGTTAGAAAGAGCATCTCAAGACGCAGGGTACATGGAAGCCGCTTTTTTAAATTAAGCCTTTGTTTGGTCAATATATAGGCAGTTATTTGATTTGGTTACCATTTTTTGATGTCTTTTTCAGTCATTGAAATTTTGATCCCTTTTTTTGCGCTTAAACAGGGACTAATTCGAAAAAGCGGCTTCTGTGTGCCCTGAGTGTTGAGATGCTCTTTCCAACAAAAAAAATATTGATATATTGAACGAACCAGGACCGAGAAATTTGGGATGCCAAATGAGTCATTTTGGACCCTTGTTTGACTTATATCCCCCTGAAACCTAAGGATTTCGGGCTGAAAATTTTATGGTAGTCTTCCCTTTCTAGCGTCAACATATTCTGAAAGTTTCATCTCATTTGAAATTTCCTGGGCTGAAATCGATTTTTGAGGGGCCCTAAGAGAGCACCCATGAGGCCGTCAAGGAATCGAAGCACACGTCAAAATTTAGTTTTCAGATTTTATATTCTCATCATGTTCAGCATGGTCTTAAACCCCTCAATTCAAATTTTTAGCGTATTTGGTTGAACGGTCGAAAAGTTGACTAGGAGCGACTTTGAAGCACCGTCAAAAAGTTTTCAGAAAATTTTCAGCGATCATCTTTTATATTTGAGCGTTTTTTTATACAACAACCAATCGATGAAAAATTTCGTATCATATATCAATAGATGTACCGTTGATCTCTGAACAAAATGAGCTATTCGCATTTCCTATTTTAAACGAACCAATCCAGGATTATCTACTAAACAATTTTGATGACTCATTATTTTTCGAAAAAAAAAATTTCAATTTTCTTCAATATTTTAGCTCTCGCTCAGCCATTTAATGAGTGCCCAGAATAAATTTTACAGAGTATTGTAGAATCGATCCTCCTCTACAAAATGGTTGAAAGCAATTTTAAAAAAATTTAGGTTTTGGGTGAAAAATAGTTCACACTGCTGACTACCAAAATTTCATTTTCAAAATGAAGTTTAAAAAAATTTTTTTTTTCGTTGATAAATAAGACCTATAGTAGATAATAAAGCATCTACAATACTTTTCACATAAGTAAGATGTGCTTTTATGCATATATGTTCTATAAAAAAATCATCAGTTGCAACGAATTATGTGTTTAGTGTATTTTTCTCGTATTTTAAAATAATAAATTTGCATGATTTCGGATTTTCCGAGTTTGTCTATCCTCTTCGGACAGGGTGGGCCCTACGTGCAGAAGAGGAGAAACACAGAAAAGATTTTGCTTTACCGTGGCCAACAGCCCTGTTGTTTTATCAGGTAAGTAGATAATTATTACTCTCATATTTTTGTTCCTATAAAAGTATATGTGTCTCCAAAAGTACATGTAAAAATTATGAGCTGCTTCAAAAATGATACGATCAGTATTTTTTCTTATCCCTTTTCAATTAAAGTTATATTTTATCAGATTAAAAAATAGTAAATAAACAAAGCATTTTCAAATAATTTTAATTTGTATTTTGTTTAAATTTTTTTAAAATGGCAGCAACTGATGTTACCTCTGAATAGGTACGAACAGTATCGAAAGGGAAAAAAGTACTAATCATTGGAGATTCGATATGCAGAGGGATCTATAAAGATCTTGCTTGTTTGTTGTATGGTATTGATCGATTATTGAAACTTGATGAACTAATTTTTAATAGGCATAACTGTGGCGAACATAGAGAGTGCCGCCTATGCTCGTCGGCATGATGGTGTATTGTGTCATCTGCACATCTCTAGTCGTGCATTTCCTTTAGTTACATTCCCTTATATACGCGAGAGTAATCATGCTTGGGCGGATATAGACAAAGAGGGAATGGTCGCGCAATAGAACAATGAGAATTCATCAGGTCAATGCACAAACATAGGGTACAGCGAAGAGGATAAAGTACACAAAGTAAGCCGTAACGGTAAATACCGTTACAATAATAACAATAATAAATATGCCCTGTTTGATGAAATTATTGATCACTTTAAAGTTGATCGCTCTAACAGCATTAACAACATTGAAAGACGAAAATTAGTATCGACGGAACATGATTATCATATACAATATCGGTTTCGCAGTCGTATATGGAATAAGTCAATGGAAGAATTATCGTTATGTATTGAACAGTATGATGGTATTTTCTTCCAGAGCTTAATATGGGATCTTAGTCGCTAATAGGGGTGGCACTTTATCTTTATTTTACTTTGAAAAAGTAAAGTAAAGTACATCTTCTTTACTCGAATAGTAAAGTAAAGTAAAGTAAAGTAAAGTAGAGTCATATATTCAGGGGAAGCTTATGATTAATTTCTTAGCTTACTATCAACAATAGATAATGTTTAGCG